TTTAAATTGTATTTTCTTCAGGATTAAAATCACCAACTGAACCTTCCAAGGAGATCAACTGAGTGGAAATAATCTTCAGTAACTGCTAATGGGAGCTGGATTTAAAACTGTCAACTTAAAATAAAAACGCTTATGTCTCCTGAACTGTTACCCAGCCGGGTAAATTGTTTTTTACTGTGGAATTATATGCACTTAAATCATGGTGTATGCATGTGGTCAGCACTGCTTTTCTTTTAAGTGGGTTTGTTTATTTAAAAGACTCGAAAATGAGAAGTTGTTTTCTTCCTCAGTTGGGGTTTATTGTAAAACTCGATGCCAGAAAAAGAAAAAAGTACTGTTTGTGTGCTGCGAGTGTATGAAGTGTGTCCTTTCCAGAGAAAGGACAGTCATGGTGTTTTTTTTCTCTCTGCCCAAAGACGGAAAGCTCTAAGGACCAGCAGGAGGCTTTGTGGGAGATCTGGGCTTGTGAACGCTAATCACGCACTGACCAATGGTTTCAAACACAGGAATGCCCAGTATATGTTTTTACTCTTATTCCTTTGCAGTAATTCAAATACTACTAAAATGAAACAAGTAGCTGGAGAGCAAAGTGGGACTTGGTTCATGTTGGTAGATGATACTTGTTATTAACAGGGTCAGTTTGATAGCCGTGTCAGAGCTGTTGTTTTGCCCTGCTCTGTGCTATGAAGTGTCATGAGTGAAGGTCATGCTCGACTGCTACGGGTAGTCCCAGTAGCATCAAAGCAGCTGAGGAAGTCTTGAGATCCCATGTGGCACATCCAGCCAACGGCCCTTGAGTCATGGACCCATCTCCCAGGCAGACCCTTCCCTGGAGACTGAGCCTTGTCTTGATCTGCAAATGAGGAGGGGGTGGGATCCAGAGAGACAACATGACTTGCCTAAGAGCACACAGTTGATCTGTGACAGGGATGCACGATTTTCTTACAAAAGTGAGACTATACCACACCAAAAAAATCTTAGAAAATTATCCTAATCCACCACAGTTTATATTTTTATTTTTTATTATTTTTATTATTTTTCGAGACAGGGTCTCCCTGTGTTGCCCAGGCTGGAGTCCAGTGACACAATCATGACTCACTGCAACTTCCGATTCACAGGCTCAAGCGATCCTCCTGCCTCCGCCTCTCAAGTAGCTGGGACTACCTGTGCACACCACCACACCCAACTAACTTTTGTATTTTTTGTAGAGATGGTGTTTCATCATGTTGCCCAGGCTTATCTCAAATTCCTGAGCTCAAGGCATCTGCCCGCCAATGCCTCCCAAAGTGCTGGGATTACAGGCGAGAGCCACCGTGCCCGACCAGTTTATTATTATTTTTTTTAACTGTGATTTAAATCCTTTTAAGTGCAGCCCAGTTATCCTCTCAGGAATTTTCCAGACTTCCCACCCCCTCAGGTTTTGCTCACTTATTGTTTGTTTCATTCTTCTTTGCACTTTTTAGAAATGTAGTAACTGAGAGAAATACTAATCGCCCCTCCTCCTGTTGTTGCAGCCAGTTGTTTTTTCACTGAACGCTCTGAGGGTGCTCTGTTTTCATTGTTATGGTGAACCTGGGCCATGGAGTTATCAGGAGATGACAGTAGGTTAGGGCTTAGAGTCTGTGGGCATTTCAGTTCTCTGACGATGGAAAGCTATTCGGAGCCAGGTTGACACAACTGAACAAACTTGCACTGTTAATGTCAGGGTGATGACCACCTGGAGACAAACAGGGAGGCCCTTTGTTCTACTAGTGGCTAAAACATTATAGGAATGAGAATGAATAACCTTTATGAACCCTAGAGTGCACTGCCTGGACGGATAGAAACAACCTAGACAAGGGGACGGGGTCTCTGCCATCCAGACCAGAGTGTAGTGGTGCAGTCATAGCTCACTGCAGAGTCAAACCCCTGGGCCCAAGTGATCCTCCCACCTCAGCCTCCTGAGTAGCTGGGACCTAGGCTGTAAGCCACCGCACCTGGCATGATTCATTTTTTACACTTAATTTTTCTATTAAAAATATGCCAAGCATACAAACAAGCGTAGAAAATAATATTTTGAACATCTGTATACCCACCAGTCAGCCTCATTAAAATCTTTTTGATATTTTCTATTTCTAGCCTACCTGGAGGCCGCTATTATGAATTGGGTGTTTATCACTCTTGAAGTCCTCAATTTAACTCTTCGGGGCCTCCCTCAATGCAAGGGCCTGCGTTTAATGGGACAGGAGCAGTATCTTGCAGCAGTAAAATCATAGTTTTGGAACTGTCATGAGACCACTATAATGATTTGAAATGTGTCAGTGAGATCGGTCTGCAGAGAGCCGAGGTGTTTCAGACCCTAGATTCGTGACTAGATGGCAGTTCCCCAAAGTATGAGAAAGTATGGTGGCCACTGAAGGTCACTCATCAAGGTAAACCTCAGACAGACAGTTTCAAGAAAAATGTATGGTTTAGGAGTAGTGCTTTTCAAACTTTTTTTATTGTAACCCAACTTAACAAGTAAATTTTCCACTGTGACCCTGGACACATACACCGCCCCCCCCCCCCCCCCCCACACACACACACACACACACACACACACACACACACAGAGCACATACTTCTGAATGAAAATTCTTAATGAAATGATTATTATTATACTTACTATTTTTGTCAGCTGCTCTGCAATAAAGTCTATTTTGTTTTATTGTTTGTACAAAAGCTGTTTTGTTCCAATAAATAGAGTTCACATGCTATTGGTAAATAGGCACCCACAGTTTAAAAAAATGAACCAAACAAAACCTGGTTTAGGGAACCGTTTCTTGTTTCATGGAGCAAAAGTTTCTGAAAGGTGTATTTGGTTTAACTCTGCTGAGTGGTTTTATAAAAAGCTTTTCTCTACGACTGACCTCAGCTTAAAGATCTATGCCACAACTTACTGACGATGAATCCCATGTAAAACTAAGCAGAATTCACAACTGTTTTGGGGTTCAGGTTATTCTATCATGAGACTTCTCCTTAAAGCTCCTAACCCTCTTCAGCCACTGCTTTAAGGCAGCCTGACTAGATTAAGTAAACAGAACTTGAACACAGTGACTGAACTATATAAATTCATGATTGTTAAGCCACAAAAGCAACCTTTCCAAATAAAACTGAGTGTAAGTCAAACTGCCAAGCGAACAAGGGCAGCTATGGAGCTCTCAACTCTCCCTTTTGTCATAGTTTATCTCTGTACAATGCCAGATGAGGAATAAAGTGATGTGACTATTGCTTTATACTCATTAAATCTCATCCGTTTTTGTGGGACCATAGTGCCATCCTCCTCACCTGAGGTGCCCGATAATGATCACTCTAGCAGGGGGTTCTAAGGCACCTATGTTCAAAAGAAGTTTATAGAATTGGACTCAGAAGGGTACAGCTTGCCCTCCAGGGAAGCAAAGGAGAAAATTATATTTAATGCATATTAAACAAACAATTGTTGGAGACTATGAGCTACATTGATTCCAATAGCCCAAAATACTTGAGTCAGCTTGCTCCAAAATGTTACCAGCCAGCCATTTTAAACATTAATGAGGCGGCTGGTCTCTAAAATCTGGAAGGACGAGGAGGTTTTGTTTAAGCCAGCTGTTTCACAGGAGAGGAAATACAGTTCTACCTCAGGAAATTTAAATGAGACTGCTGAATAACTGGGAAAGAACATCTCCTGTGGATGAGAGGGCAAAGAAGAATTCAGCTGATTTTATACCAAATAACAAACGTGACAGCTGTGCTATCTTGTGTATGTATTTGTGTCTGTGATAGTGTATAATTTCTAGAAAAGCAGTTGTCAGGCATTTGAGTCTTAAAAATTTTCACTTTAAAAAATCATCGAGAACAAAGAACTCTTGCCTCTGTGGGCTGGATCTATTAATTTTTACCGTTTTAAAAATTAAAACTAAGATATTTAAAAATATTTAGTGATTCATTAAAAACTATTCCATATTAACATAAAATATTTTTATTTAAAACATTGTTTTTGTAAGTTATTGAGAAGAGTATTACTGAGTATTATTGAGAAGTATTACTAAGTATTATTATTAAGAGAAGAGTATTATTGAGTTTTATATTACTGCAAATCTATTTAATACTTGGTTTAATAAATGGCACCTAGATTGTCATTATCTGTTTCTCCATATACTCTGTTGTGCTATGTTGTTTTGGTTGAAGTGTGTAAAGAGAAGTTAGTTCACACAAATAAGTAATTGGAAAAGAGAGAACCTCACAGTCCCATTAAAAGGATCTCAGGGACTCCCAGGGATCCTTGGGGCACACTTTGAGAGCCACTGTCCTGAAAAGTAGTTTGGAAGACTATGTTAAGTGTGGCTGTCCAGGAGTGGTGAGATTATTCACGATCCTGTTTTTTTTTTTTTTTCTTTTCATTAGTATTTATTTTCTACAAGAAGATGGATTGCTTGTGCAAACTAAAAATGAGAAAGAAAGAAAGAACATATGTTGAGGGAAGATTATGGGGGCCCTGGAAAAACCCAGGCAGAGGAGTTTACACTTGGGAGACCAAGGAGCCACTGTGATTTCTTAAATGGGAAAGTGCTAAGAGCCATGTTTGGGAGTAAGTGGATTAGAATGGAAAGAGAGAAGGGGAGATGCTACTTCAGAGGAGTGGTGTGGTGGGCCAGACCTCAGGTGTCGGCGGAAATGGAGAGAAAGGGACAAACTCCAAAGACTTTGAAGGCAAAATGACTTGAGACCGGGATATAGGGAATAGGGGAGAGGGCAGAGTCAAAGACAACAGTTTTCAAATTAAAACATTTGAAGAATGTTTCGTCCCTTCTGTCCAACTTTGGGGCCTGGTTCTGTTGCTCAGGTTGGAGTGCAGTGGCGCAGCCTCGACCCTCCTGGGCTCAAGCGATTCTCGTGCTTGAGTAGCTGGGACTGCAGGTGTGGATCACCTCTTTGTATCCAACTTCAACTTTTTCTGAATGTTACCCTGATTAAACTAACTGAAGTCTTGTCGTGTTTTCCAGAGTTGGCCAGCGTGTGCAAGGGCTTAGGAGAAAGTCAACACACTTCTCAACTTGAATTGGTCCTAGCCGCTCCCAGAAGAACGGGCGGGTTGGCCCCTATGCCACCCTTGGAGAGCTGCTCGCCGCCCACTTTGCCGTGAAGGGCTGTGCGGTTCCCGTGCACGCCGGAGCCTGCTGTGGCCCCTTATGCACTCCACCACCCCCATCAGCTCCCTCTTCTCCTTCACCAGCCCCGCAGTGAAGAGACTGCTAGGCTGGAAGCAAGGAGATGAAGAGGAAAAGTGGGCAGAGAAGGCGGTGGACTCTCTAGTGAAGAAATTAAAGAAGAAGAAAGGAGCCATGGACGAGCTGGAGAGGGCGCTCAGCTGCCCGGGGCAGCCCAGCAAGTGCGTCACGATTCCTCGCTCCCTGGACGGGCGGCTGCAGGTGTCCCACCGCAAGGGCCTGCCCCACGTGATTTACTGCCGCGTGTGGCGCTGGCCGGATCTGCAGTCCCACCACGAGCTGAAGCCACTGGAGTGCTGTGAGTTCCCATTTGGCTCCAAGCAGAAAGAGGTGTGCATTAACCCTTACCACTACCGCCGGGTGGAGACTCCAGGTGGGTCGTCTTTACCACGTCGAGGTTTATTTTCAGAGTGAAGGGCGTGTGCCCCATTGATGGAGAATGACGGGGTACCAGCAAACAGGGACCTGTCCCTAAAGAGAGAGAGAGGAGAGGGAGGTTCCGTTTTGAGGGACTGGTCCACATTTTTGTTTCCTGGAATGAGGCAGATGTCCAGTCAAAGAAAGAAGGTTCCCATGAAACCATATTCCTGCCTGGAATGCCACAGGAACACTCAATCCGAAGAGAATCACAGTAAAAACCTGTTATAGCCAGTGTGAGGGAATGAAGATAAACTAGCCAGAAAAATCTAGAAAGAAGATACTTTCATTTGATTTCATTATGCTTGTAAGCTTTGTGTGATTTTGAAAATGAGGCAGATGGCTAATCAAAGAGAGAAAACTCCCATAAAAGTTTTATTTTGAGGTATCTCAGACAAGTTGACATAATCTTTTACCAGTTCTTGGGGTCCTGAAAAGTTTTTAAAACGGACTTGATAATGATGAGCTATAAAAATTAAACATCATTCTCCCCCCCTCAAACAACTGAACTGAACTATACTAAACTGAACTAAGGCGGGGTTTTTGGCTGCTACTTTGTTCAAGTTCAGGTAAATAGAAGGTATTTTGTATGTAGGTCTGACAACAGCCAGTGAAAGAGTTGCTGGAAATCATTCCAGGCAGTTATTTTGAAAAATGGTTTTAAATACAGATAGGTATCACTTAATGATGGAAATACATTCTGAGAAATGCATCAGTAGGTAATTTCTTCTTTGTGTGAACACGCTGGAGTGTACTTACACAAACCTAGGTGGGATAGCCTGCTACACCCTTAGGCTGTATGGTGTAGCGTGTTGTTCCTAGGCTACTAACCTGCACAGCATGCTACTGTACTGAATACTGTAGGCAATCCTGACCACAGTGGTATTGAATGTATGTGAACAGATCTAAACATACAGTATCATAATCTTAGGGACCACTGTCTTACATGTGGTCCCTCAACAAAAACGTGATTACACAGTGCATGACTGTATAGGAAAGTACCTTTCTAAAACCCTTCACACCCCTGTATGTGTGTGTGTATGTATATTTTATATATATGTGTATTTTATACATATATATATATATATATCTGTCTATCTGTATTTCCCCCTTCTCTTGGAGAAGTCAGGTGTTTATCTTTGTTCCTTCACACTGGCTATAACAGGGTTTCACTGTGATTCTCTTTGATTGTTTCTGTGGCATTCCACACACGAACACAGTTTTAGGAGAGCTTTCTCTCTTTGGCCATCTGCCTCATCCCAGGAAACCAAAGCACTGACGCGTTAGCTCATGGAAATTGCCCATGTCCAATGAAGAGATGGTCCCATCTACGTAGGCAGGTTCAGTTAACCTTAAAACAGTATCCAATAAGTGACTCATGCCCAGCCTACCTCAGTCTTAGCTAAGTGATCTTTCCAGCTCCCAGAACTTAAGGAAGTCATCTACCTGTGTGTGGATGCCTCCCACAGCCCATTCAGGGACTGAGGCCCTGGCTGAGAAGGTATTAGAAGGTTCCACATGCTTGGCAAATCTGATGTGTTTCCCCTAAATCCTGGAACGAGTTGCTTTCCTCCCTTCTTCCCTGCTTCGTTTTGATTCTCTTTGTTTACTTTAAAAAAAAAAAAAAAAAAAAAAGTCAATAATATCTACGCTTATAATAAAATGACTTGATTCCATTTTGTGTTTCAAAGATTTGAATTACATTAAGCATCCAAAATATGCCCAAATGGAAAACTGTTCATTAAAAAATCATTTCTCTCTTCCTGAATAATGTAGTTGTAAAATGTAACAACTTGTAAGAATTATCTTGTAAAATGTACCTGGTTTTCCTTTTGAATATTCAAAAGCCTAATTTTAAAGAACTGTTTGACCTTTTAGTTTTTCATGTTTTTTGTTTTTTGAGACAGAGTCTCGCTCTGTTGCCGGGCTGGAGTGCAGTGGCGCACTCCCTGCTCACTGCAACCGCCGCCTCCCAGGTTCAAGCGATTCTCCTGCCTCTGCCTCTGCCTCCTGAGTAGCTGGGACTAGAGGCATGTGCCACCTTGCCCAGCTAATTTTTGTATTTTCAGTAGAGACGGGGTTTCACCATGTTAGCCAGGATGGTTTCCATCTCTTGACCTCGTGATCCACCCGCCTCGGCCTCCCAAAGTGCTGGGATTACAGGTGTGAGCCAACACACCTGGCCCTTAGTTTTTCCTGTTCTGTAAGATTCTTTTAGGAATGATAGTGTGAATGTCTTACGTATGGTAAATAGATTTCATTTTATCATAATTTAGCTGTGAATTTCCAGAAGGAAAGATGGGTGTAAAATTAATTTAAGGTAATATTTAAGTTACAGAGGCTTTTCTTCCTCTTGTGATATTTTTAATAGAAAAAGTAGGTTTTATATCCAGTTAGCAATCCATATTTAAAGTAAATATTTTAAGAATAACAAAAATGTTAACGTTAAACAAGTTTGCTGACTTCCTATTTATCATAAAGCTGAAGTTTTGCCTTTGAAATCTCATTTTTTGGCCATCTATTTTAGATCAATTGAAGGCTGTGTTCCCATTTTCTTTGCATCCACACATCCACTTCAATAATTGACTTCAGTGCTTTCCAAGTTATGTGTGGTGAGGGATCAATTTTTATTTTTTTAATTTCCGGTCCTTCAAACGAATACTTTTATAGTACAGACAAATTATTAGGCAAATGAAATTTTAAAAAGACTTAGAAAATATAAGCCCAATTTAAAAAATTATTTAAAGAAATATAAACTATAAACTGTGAAATTGCTGTGAAAAGTTTCTAAGCACTAATTTCTTCACAGACCGGTCCCCAACAGTTGTCCAAGGGTCCCCAGTCCTCAGACCACACTTTACCTGGCATGGGTCTGGTGGAAGCCGTGCAAGACTGTTGTGGTACATGATGATTTTACTCCATTAGGCCAGAGGTTATTTCAGGAGTGTAATTTCTTTTTTATAAAATATTCATATTATATCAAAACCACATGACTTTTTAAAAAAAGACAAAAGTGTTTTTTTCCAGCTCTGTTTTGCACCCCCATGTGCCCTGTAACTCCTTCTGCTGTTTCCTCCTGGGTAACACTGAGATGTAAGATAGCATGGTATTTAAAAGTGGCATAAGATAGGAATAAGTGTCTATAAGCGCACTGTCATATTTACAAGCAGCAGTTGAGATGTAGAAGTGGAATTAAGTAATTAGGGATAGCTGTGTTTTTGAGTGAAAGTATTTAAAAATATGATCTGTGCACATTTAAGGCAACTGAGCCAGTCAGGTCAAATAACAACTAGGATAAAACCATCAGTTTTCTTTGCAAACATCCACTGGCTTTGATTTTACCCAGATGGTAAAAATATATTATCAAGATAGTTGTTATGATAAAGGAAATATATCATTTATTTTCTCTTGGTGCCTCAGATCTACAGGCCATGAAGAAATAGAAGTCTCTACATTCAGATGGATAGGAGCCATTATATTTTTATCAGTGTTAGGAATACACTGTAGATATTTTACATTAAAACTGAAGTCACAGAGATTATTCAAATTCTTCTTCATAAAAAAGTGAGTGTTTATTTGAACATTGGTAACGTTTTGATGAAGGGTCATTGAAAAAGAAACCATATGGATTTGCTGTGTCAACTCCTCACTTCAGACTACTCATGAGGCACAAAATCTTTTTTTTCCTGCATAGTTATGGAATATTAACACATTAAAGGAAATTTAATGGTTTATTATCCATGTCACTGTTTCATGGTGATGTTGAATGTTTATTCTCTGGTGTCATAGGCTGCATATGTATATAAATACTAGCTTGTAAAAGGGGAAGAAATTATTTGTTTCTCTGCCACCCTCACTTGTAGCAATTTTAGTTTAAAACCTTTCATTTACCCTTTTGAGTTTATTTTCTGTCCATGTAACTGAAAATTATTGCTTGTTAAAAAAGAGAGATGTATGATGTCAAAGGCAGATAGCAGACTTTGGGGTTAATGTCACTGTTATTGTTATTGTCTGTTTATTCCAAAACATTTACCTTTTTTAAGACCTTATTTTTTAGAGCAGTTTTAGAACATTTACTTTTTGTGAGTTTTTATTAATACTTGCCTGTGACTGACAAATCAATAGTGTGATTAGAACCAAGATCTGTCCTATTTATACCCAGAGACAAACTGTTTTAAACAATTCTTGCTTAGTTCTTTTGTATTTCTTTCTATTATTACTAAGAATTATGACAGTAACTCTAGATAATACATGCTTACATATCTCTTTCCAAATTTGTGACCTTTAGATGTCATTGACTGTCTAACATAAAAGATGAGGATTTCACTCACTTATTTATATTTATATATATGTATATATATACACACACACATTTTTCTTTTTTTTTTTTTTTTGGAGACAGAGTCTCTCACTGTCGCCCAGGCTGGAGTGCAGTGGTGCGATCTTGGCTCACTGCAAGCTCTGCCTCCCAGGTTCACACCATTCTCTTGCCTCAGCCTCCTGAGTAGCTAGGACTACAGGCACCCACCACCATACCCGGCTAATCTTTTGTATTTTCAGTAGAGACAGGGTTTCACCATATTAGCTAGGATGGTCTCGATCTCCTGACCTTGTGATCCGCCTGCCTTGGCCTCCCAAAGTGCTGGGATTACAGGCATGAGCCACCACACCTGGCCTCACTCACTTATATTTTAGTCTTCTTCCTTCCTCCTCTTCTCAGTCCTTGATTTCTATATTTTAGTTCATAGTTTGTATTTGTTTTTGGTTATTCCAGTGGTTTCCACTGTGGAATTTGGGGATAAGAATTATTTGTCCTCAGAAGGGCATTGGTCATTGACTTCTAGTAGCCAGGGTTGGAGTGGGAGGTTGAGGTTGGTTGATTCTCATTTCTTTGTAGGTGACTTTGTGGTAATCCTCTAGGAGCTTTTGGAATATTCCAGTTATCCCGCAATGTTTGAAATTCAAGATGGAAAGACTAGGTCGGGATCTTATTTTCATTAATTGAGCTCAGCGCACTCTGTGGCTGTTTTCAATATGAAGACATAGGTCCTTTGTGGCTCTTTGAAGTTTTCCTTTGTTATTTCTTAGGCTGCTTCCCCCTTGTGTTTTCTTTGCCTCTCTGTCTGGAACTTATGTTGGTTGCAGATGGCTCTCCAACAACATTTTTGGAGTAGCTACTTTATGCCAGGCATTGTAACCTTCTAGGAGTCGGTAGGACGTGAGGGCCTAGGCAAAACTTTCCCTTAAGAATTTGAATTTATTCTGAAATTTTGTATAGAATCAAAATCAAGAACCGTAACATTCTTTTTAAAAAATGAAATCCGAAAAAGCATAGTAAAATGAACAAACATCATTTATGTTTTCTTACTGCTGCTTACCGTTTTTTTTTTTTTTTTTTTTTTTTGAGACAGAGTTTCACTCTTGTCACCCAGGCTGGAGTGCAATGATATGATCTTGGCTCACTGCAACTTCCACCTCCCAGATTCAAGCGATTCTCCTGCCTCAGCCTCCTGAATAGCTGGGATTGCAGGTTCCCGCCACCACACCCGGCTAATTGTTGTATTTTTAATAGAGACGGGGTTTCACCGTGTTGGCCAGGCTGGTCTCAAACTCCTGACCTCAGGTGATCTGGCCGCCTTGGCCTCCCAAAGTGCTGGGATTACAGGCGTGAGCCACTGTGCCCTGCTGCTGCTTATCTTTTACTTAGTCACTTTTATTATTATTCACCATTTGTATTTTACTTAATAACTTTTAATTACTCACCTTGAAATTTTTCCATTAAGGACGCATAGAATGTTTTTATTTCAGCAGCACTACTGAACCTGAAATTGTGTCTGGTCGTCTAAATAATTCAACATGATCTCTGGAGGAAAAATATTTTGGGCATCACTTAGGGTTTCATTGCAAGCAATAGAAACTGATTCTGCCTTGGGGGGAAAAAAGACTTATTTGGCAGAATTAAAGAAAGATGTAACCATCAGGTCACTAGAAGGCCAGGTATGAGGGCAGCTCTCGTCATTTCCAAGGTAGGAATAAATAGCAGGTCTCTTTAGAGTGCTGACACTAGAATGATCCTTCTGCAAATATTTTTTGTGAACGATGACATTCTGCTTAAGATTCCGGTTACAAGGAGAAGACTGTTACCTTAGCTTACTCACATGCTCGCTTCTTAGGTGGAGATGGGGACTGAATCGACAGTTTTATGATGAGCACAAAGACTAATGGGAGTAGTTCCCAAGGGGAAAAACAGCTCCATCATCAAAAAAATAGATAAGAACAGCAAGTATCCGCTCTGTTGTGTACTGATGAGCAATGTTCAATTCTAACTGTCCTGTTCCTTTCTGATCCTAGTGCTGCCTCCTGTGCTCGTGCCAAGACACAGTGAATATAACCCCCAGCTCAGCCTCCTGGCCAAGTTCCGCAGCGCCTCCCTGCACAGTGAGCCACTCATGCCACACAACGCCACCTATCCCGACTCTTTCCAGCAGCCTCCGTGCTCTGCACTCCCTCCCTCACCCAGCCACGCGTTCTCCCAGTCCCCGTGCACGGCCAGCTACCCTCACTCCCCAGGAAGTCCTTCTGAGCCAGAGAGTCCCTATCAACACTCAGGTCAGTAAGAACTATGGTCTCTGGGGAAATACGGGAAAATAAGCCCAACATGATGATTTGTGATGAACAGTCACAATGACAGTCATTGTAACTCACATTCATATAGTGTAAACCGTTGACAAAGCAATCAGCCTTAAAATGATTAGGACTATACCCATTTTGAAGCAGTTACCCTGGAGATACAACGTGTTTTTGCTCTAGTTTTAGTTCTAATGCTCTGGAAGCTCTCAGAAACTAAATGGATTTGAATAGTATCCCTGGAAATTTCCAAGGATTTTATTTTTTTAAGGCAGTAGAAATAAGATTAAAAGACTTCTGTAATCCAAGCAGAAGACTTGGCCTGAGGACAAGCAACATGGAAGATCAATGCTAGGCCTTAACCTTGGTTGCCTCTTTCAACAATCAAAGGAAGCTTTTGCCTAAAACATATGCCTGCATCCTTTGAGTGAGGCAGAAAGTGAAGCCCCCGCTCCAGCCAGTGCATTCTCCCTTTCTGCCATGTGAAGCCATGTGAAGAGCTTAAATGTAGAGCTCTTCAGTTGGCTGAATTGAGAAAGCATATGGAAGGGAAAGGGAGCCTCTAGCATGCTGTCATAATTGCATTTGCTACCATACCTGTAAAGTGGATCTAAGTTGAGATAATGAATAAAAGATACATACGCACCTCATGAGTGTGAGATAAATACTACGCGGAGCTGGCAAGTTCCTAAAGGCATGCATAAATACATTTGGTGCCAGATGTTACAGTCTGCCTCATTCATTTATTCCTGCAATCATTTACTTAATGGATATTTATTAAACTCTTACTATATGCAAGTATTGCCTTAGGATTGCTGAAAGGGGAATAAAAGGTTAATAAAAATTTTGCCTGTCCTCACAGAGCTTATACAATGTGGGAAGATAAAGAGGGAATTGCTTCTTCCCCTCTGAGTTACTTAGTTCCTTTTGCCCCTCAGCAAGTTACATAAGCATCTACTATTACATTTATTGCACTGTATTATATAATTCCTGTGTGTCTATTTTCCCCATTAAACAGTGAGCCTTCTTTTTTCTATGTCCAGCACAGAGCCTGAAATGCAGTGGTTGCTCATCAGTTGATTATTGAATAAATAAATTACTACACAGGTGTTTATTTATTTTTATTTATTTATTTATTTTTGAGATGGGGTCTTGCTCTGTCACCCAGGTTGGAGTGCAGTGGCATGATCCTGGCTCACTGCAGTCTCCGCCTCACGGTTCAAGCAATTCTCCCACCTCAGTCTCCCTAGTAGCTGGGATTACACGGGCGGCACCACCATGCCCAACTAATTTTTGCATTTTTAGTAGAGATGGGGTTTCACCATGTTGGCCAGGCTGGTCTCGAGCTCCTGACCTCAGGTGATTTGCCTGTCTCGGCCTCCCAAAGTGCTGGGATTGCAGGCATGAGCCACTGCACCTGGCCCACACAGGCATTAGAACATGGACATGGAGCTTTAGACCATAGGCACAGGTTTTATTGACTCAGTAAGTGATGACTGAGCACCTCTGAAGTGCCTGGCACTGGGCCAGTGCTAGAGGTGCAGTGATGATCAAGACAATGTAGTTGCCCCCTCTTATATGAGGTTTCAGTTACCTGAGGTCAGTTGCAGCCTGAAAATACTGAATAGAAAATTCCAGAAATAAACAATTCATAAATTTTAAATTGTATGTGGGGATGAAACCTCGTGCCATCCTATCCAGGTTCTGAATCATCCCTTTGCCCAGCGTATCTGTGTTGAAGACGCTATCCACCTGTGAGTCAATTAGTAGCTGTCTCTGTGATCAGATCAACTGTTGAGGCCTCACAGTGCTTGTGTTCAGGTCACTCTGATTTAATAGTGACCACAAAGTACAAGAGTAGTGATGCTGGCATATTGTTCGGATACTTTTACTTTATTATTAGTTACTATTCCTAATCTCTTACTGTGTTTAATAAATTAAACTTTATCACGGGTATGTATAGGAAAAAATCATAGTATATGTGGTACTCTGTACTAGCCACAACTTCGGGTATCCCCTGGGGGTCTCAGACTGTATCTCTGGTGGAGAAAGAGGACTACTGTGGTCTCTGGCCTTCAGGAGGCAGTAGCTGTTGAGAGCCATCACGTATAGGTAGCCTGTAGCAGTCCAGGCAAGTGATTATAAGGACTTGAACTAAAACAGGGATGTGGGGTTGGAAAAAGGGCAGTGAATTGGAGGAGGGGGTCTAGCAGGACTTACTGTAGGGTGAAGGCAGAGATGCTGGAGGGTAGCTTGAGAGTCATTCACTCAGTGTGGGAGCAGGTGGTTGAAGTTTTGCAAGTGGCTGAGTTCACTGAGAAAGAAGAAATACAACAGAAAGAGAAGTCATTTGAGGACAGAGCCTTGGCTAAGGAACAGGAGGATAATTGTATTACAAAATATATATTTACCTAACACACCTCTATGCTACAAAGACTTCCTGTGCTGACTTTGAATTCCTGCCCTGATTACTCTGACAGGTTGATGTTCTTTTTCCTCTTCCCACCCACGCAGGACAGACCCCAACAATGATGCAGAAGCTGGTTAGTTTCTCACCGAAGGCATAGCCCTTTTCACTTCAAAGAAAATAATTCTTGTCTGAATGATTAACAGCAAAATGCCAACCTGAGTAACAGACCCACAGATAAACAAGCGTAAAAGGAACCTTGGCGATTTACTGGTTCAGCCTCTAGATTTTTTAAAAAGCGCTATTGAGGTATAATTCACATACCATACAACCACCCATTTCAAGTGTACAAGTCAATGGCTTTTCATATGTTAATTTTTTTCAAGTGGTGGTGAAATAGATAAACACAAAATTTATTTAACTTTTTTTTTTTTTTTTTTTTGAGATGGAGTTTTGCTCTTGTTGCCCAGGCTGGAGTGCAGTGGCGCAATCTCGGCTCACTGCAACCTCTGCCTCCCAGGTACAAGCGATTCTCCTGTCTCAGCCTTCCAAGTACCTCGGATTACAGGCATGCGCCACTACACCTGGCTAATTTTTTTGTATTTAGTGGAGACAGGATTTCACCATGTTAGGCTGGTCGTGAACTCCTGACCTCAGGTGATCCACCCACCTTGGCCTCTCAAAGTGCTGGGATTACAGGTGTGCTCCACTGTGCCCAGCCCATTTTAACCGTTTTTTAAGAGTAAAATCTGGCCGGGTGCAGTGTGGCTCATGCCTGTAATCCCAGCACTTTGGGAGGCTTAGGCAGGCGGATCACTTGAGGTCAGCAGTTCGAGACCAGCCTTGCCAACCCATGTTGAAACCCTGTCTCTACTAAAAATACAAAAGTTAGCTGGGCGTGGTGGTGCACCTCTGTAATTCCAGCTGCTCAGGAGACTGAGGCACGAGAATCGCTGGAATCCCGGAGTTGGAGGCTGCAATGAGCTGAGATTGTGCCACTGCACTCTAGCCTGGGTGAGGGCTATTAAAAAAAAAAAAAAGTACAATCTGATGGCATTAGGTGCATTAATAATATTGTGCAACCATCACCATATCTATTTTCAAAAATTTTTCATCACCCCAAACAGAAATTCCATACTGATTAAGCAATAGCTCCCCATTTCCCTACTTCCCCAGCCCCTGGTAAGCTCTAATTTACTTTCTGTCTCACTGAATTTGCCTATTGCAGGTACCTCATATACTAGATTAATACAATATTTGCCCCTTTGTGTCTGTCTTATTTCACTTAGCCAAGTGTTTTCACAGTTTGTGTTGTAGCATGTATCGGTAGTTCATCTTTGTGACTGAATGATGTCTCATTGTATGGCTATACCACATTTTAAAACATCAGTTCATTAGCTGTTGGATATTCGGATTGTTCCCACCTTTTGGCTCTAGTAAATAACACACTGCTTTCAATTCCTTCGGGTATATACCTAGGAGTGGAAGTGCTACATTATATGGTAATTCTATTTTCAGTCCCCCTTTTTTTAATTTTAATTTTTTAGAGACAGGGTCTTGTTGTTACCCAGGCTGGAGTATGGTGGCACAGTCATAGCTCACGGTAACTTCAAACTCTTGGGTTCAAGTGATCCTCCTACCTCAGCCTCTGAGTAGCTAGGATTACAGGTGCACACCACCATGCCCACCTAATTTTTAATTTTTTTTTGTAGGATGGGGTCTCATCATGTTGCCCAGGCTCATCTCAAAGCGCTGAACTCAAGTGATCCTCCCACTTCAGTCTCCCAAAATGCTAAGATTACAGGTGTGAGCCACTGTGCTCAGCCTGTTCTGCCCCTTGAGTAAATAGACGTATTTAGTCAAAGACCTACAAAAAGACCATCTTGCCTTATAACTTTTTTACCAGTGTCATAGGAGTCATAGTCCATTTTCTCAGAAGGAAATACCTTATCCATGGTTTCCTAGTATGGTCCATGAACCCTGCATTAGACTTGCCATCGGAGCATGTTAAAATGTACGTGGCTACATTCAACCACTGACCTATTGAATCAGAATTGCTAAGGATGGGGCTGAGAATCTGCATTTTTAGCAAGCTCTACTGGCAATTTTTTTGTACACTTAAGTGTGAGAACTACTTGTGTGGACAATTAGATACAACAAAGGCAGATTGATCCAACCTTTTATGCTGTTGTATTCCACCACAGGTGTAACAAGACCATTCTGAACTAACATTAGACATGCCTGCTGAAGGAATCGGTTGTTTTGTGCTGAGGCCCTCCATAAAGAGTTTTCCCTGTGCCTCATGAATTTTTATTGTGTCATGAATTATTTTCCATGGAATGCATCCCATTTGCCTAACCATGATCACTGTCCAGTCACAGAACTGACATTTGGGTAGAAGGGCCCTTCTCAGTGTGCCTTGGGTACAAGGTTACAATTATATTTCAGCTTTTCTGTGTTTTAGGGGCATATCCTGAAGTATCTCAGGGATAGAGCGTCCCCGTGGCCATTGTACAATTCATGACAACATAGAAGCTGAAAATTAAGCTCACTTCAAAGAAGGTTTAGCTTTCTCTGTGTTTTGCAAGCTGGATCACAGACTGTTCTGCTATGAGAAAAGCTAGGAGAACAGGTCCTGCATTTGAAAGTCTTGCCCTGACGTCATTAGAACTCAGTGATAACTCAAAAGTCAGAGGGAAATGGAATTGACCCTTTAGTGTGGCTTTCGGAACAACCAGTTTCTTCTGTAGAGCACTCACAATGCCACTTCAGAAGAGCCTTGTTACATTCATATTGTCTCTCTGTAGGAGTAGCACTGTCCACCAAGCTCAGGAGTTTAATGGCAAAAGATGTCAGATCCAACTGTCTTTGTGTAGTTTATCGATTTGACAATTCCTTTGTTCTACTGCTTTCTTTTAGTTGACACACCACCCCTGCCTTATCATGCCACAGAAGCCTCTGAGACCCAGAGTGGCCAACCTGTAGATGCCACAGCTGATAAACATTTAGTGCTATCGATACCAAATGGAGGTAAATTGCAGATGAACAGTGAAATGTAGCTGTTTTCCAAAAGTGTTTCCTATTACCGCCAAACAAAGCAATTCAAAAAACAGAACCAGAAATGTACTGGCCTGCTGTTTTGCATGTGTTTTAAGAGGCAAATGGGATGGCTTTGCATTTTAACTTTGACATTCCTCGGTACCATAGAATTAATGTTTTATCATCCTCATTACTAGAATAAGTTAATTTTTATTTTAACTTAGCATTTAGAAGTTTGTAGTTCTTGATGTTAAGTATGGAGTTAGGAACTCAAGAAGTTAGGGATTTTATTCTGTTTGTGTTTTTACCATATGTTTATAGTGGTGTCTTTCATTCGGCCGGAGAGGTATTCTTAGAAATATACATAAATGAGGTTTTTACAAAATTGTATTTGCATCTTATAATAGCCTAGATAAGTGTTGCTTGACTTTAATGTTTGTATAAACCACGTTGTGATCTTGCATAAATGCAGATTTTGATTCTGTAGATCTTAGGGTGGGGTCCAAGAATCTGCATTGTTAAGCTCCCATGTAATGCAGAGGCTACTGTTCCATGAGCCAGATCTTGAGTAGAGAGGTTCTAAAGAAGTGCACCATTTGAAATACTCCAAGTGAATATTTTATAAACTAAGATCCTTTTGTGAGAGAAATAACAACCCCCGAATTTATCTATTTCATAAATTTATATTTAGTGCATATAGGAACACACTCTAGAAGCAAGAATGACAAGGATGTTCAAGGAAGACAAAGATAATATAATCAATACAAAGGCAGAGAAAGGGTGTGGGTGGCAAAGAAAAGGAACTCTGAGCTTTGGTTACAGAAAAGTGACTTCACTTTATGTTGGGTGTGAAAACATTCATGGGTTTCCTGATGAAATATCCAGCTCTCTTTAAATGTGTTTTTTTTTCCATGCATAAGTAGATATCCACAAAGCAGAATGTGAGCCCCTCTATGTGGAAGCTTTTTTTTCCTTAAATAATTTAATGTCCTGTTCAGCATTATTGATTTGCTCTTTATCATAGTCAAACTATTATTTTCCATCTCTAGTTTGTTAGAAAATGATAGTTTTTGCCACAAGGTTTCAAGTGGGCACAGTAACAGCAACATGCCATCTTTCACATGTTTCTGAAAGAAGAGGTGACCTGCTAGCTTCCTTTGAGCTGTGCTTGCTTTAGGGCCGACAGTTTTTTTATGTTCATCTGTTCATGTCATGTTTTCCCTGGTCCCTTCATGACCAATACACATGTTTATAAATGCTCTAGCCATGGAAGATGAACAAGGACCATGGACTCTACATCTCAGGTGTGCTAGTGAAATGAGCCAGCCCCAAGCAGCTCCCATGAGAGCTACAAGTTCTAAAAGATTACAGAATGGCATGCTTGGTCTTGCAGCCGACTCTCTGGTGAAAAGTATTAACTAAGTTTCCTGGTGGAATCATGAACTACACAGCCCAGGTATGACACTCGCCATGTGCTCTCTGGTTTGTTTTCTTCCAGACTTTCGGCCAGTTTGTTACGAGGAACCCCAGCACTGGTGCTCGGTCGCCTACTACGAACTGAACAACCGAGTTGGGGAGACATTCCAGGCTTCCTCCCGAAGTGTGCTCATAGATGGGTTCACCGACCCTTCAAATAACAGGAACAGATTCTGTCTTGGACTTCTTTCTAATGTAAACAGAAACTCAACGATAGAAAATACCAGGAGACATATAGGAAAAGGTAAGAGCAAAGATGCCATTCCTTTAGTCGTCTAGCCAAAATGTAGATGGTCATGTGTGTAAAAGTGCACGTGACCACCCTCACATATTGGTCATGTGCCCCTGTGGAAGGACCCCAGGGCTGGTGAGCTCTGAGATAGCTCTGACATTTCCACTGGGGAAAGCACATGGGTCGCCAGGATCTTAGTCTCTGCCTCTAATGTCGTCATGCCACCTTCTAGGGGTGGCATGGACTGGGGATTGTAAAGACAAGCAAGATGATAGATATGAAGAAAGCCAGATGAAATTATTGAATAGAAGTATTATGCATTATTTTTCATTTGCCTAAAACGTGCAAACTAGGATCATTTCTGAAGAACAGGAATTCTGACTAGATGATTATTTGTATCAGGTAAAGTTCTCTTTGGAGACTTAGCAGCTGGGTAGTTAGAAAGAATGACTGATGTATGTCTGGAAGCCTTTGGCATGTGATTGGGGCTCTCCTGCGTGCAGGCGTACAGCAGCTGATGGGGTACAAGTCATACTGGTCTCTGTTCTGACCTGTGATGCTTTTGAAGCCCATCTCACTGGTCTGAGTGATGGTAGCAAATCCCAGCTGAGTGTGTGGTCTGGCTGAGGATCTTTACATTATTTTCTATTATATTGGAATAGTTGGTATCTTCAAGTGATACTATGGAGTCACAGATGTAAAGAACCTTCTTCAGTCATTTGACCTTTTTCTCTCTCCATCCAGCACTTAAACCACCTTGGGAAGGGAGCCTGAGCCTTTTCTTTGAAATTTCCAGGGGAGATTCATTGTTCCATTTGGTGGTGCATTCTGATATTCTTCCTAACATGCCTTCAAAATGTCTCCTGCTGGGGTAAACCTAAAAGCCATTGTTTAGAAACAGGCTGAAATCATTCATTGATGTTGACTCTTAATGGAGACAGTTACTTTATGTTTATTTATATTCTGTCTCCATAGTGGCTTTGAGGCAACTTACGAGAAACCACTGCAGTGAAATGATATATGAAAAATAGAAAATCAGAAACACAGGGTTGAGGGGAGGGGAGAAGAATCCAGATGTTCCAGATATGTCATCCATAAGGGTTAACGTTGTTAACCAAGCTAAGCAGGGTCGGGCCTGGTGAGTACTTGAATGGCACAATGCCTGACCTCCTGGGAATGCAGCCCAGTAGGCCTCAGCCTTATTTACCTAACCCCTACTCAAGATGGAGTTGCTCTGGTTCAGACGTCTCTGACACAGAGAGCTGGAGAAGGTGGTGGTGATTTTGCTCTAGATTTCCTGACAGGGAGAGAAGAAATGAAAACCTCACTCTGGAATGTAATTTTTATCCCAAAGTGGGAAAATAGCCATTCCTCAAAGGAAATAATCTTTGAATTAATTCTTAAACAAGTTTCTTGAGTATGGCTTTACTTTCAAATGATTTTTAGAAGAATCTTCAGTGAACTCTCAAGGCAAAACATTAACACATGACGTTGTGAAGCCGTTTGCTGAGGAGCTTTGCAGATTGGTCTGTGTGTTCAGTTTCCGCTGGTGCCGGTGGATCCAAAGACAGGATTCAAATATTAAAGGAGTGCTGAATGTGTTCTAGGAACCTGTCTGCAAGTCGCTTCTTCAAGGTGCTCCTGCTAAGGACATGGAGAGTCTGTGGTAGTCTGTTGCGTTGCTGTAAAGGAATATCTGAGACTGCGTAATTTATAAAGAAAAGAGGCCGGGCATGGTGGCTCATGCCTGTAATCCCAGCCCTTTGGGAGGTGGAGGTGGGCAGATCATGGGAGTTCGAGACCAGCCTGACCAACATGGAGAAATCCCATCTCTACTAAAAATACAAAATTAGCCAGGTGTGGTGGCGCATGCCTCTAATCCCAGCTACTAAGAGGCTGAGTCAGTAGAATTGCTTGAACCTGCGAGACGGAGGTTGCAGTGAGCTGAGATCGTGCCATTGCACTCCAGCCTGGGCAACAAGAGCAAAACTCCGTCTCAAAAAAATAAACGAAAAAAGAAAAGAGGTTTGTTTGGCCCATGGGTCTGCAGGCTGTACTGCAGCACGTGTGCTGGCATGTGCTTCTGGGGAGGGCTTTCGGAAGCTTCTAATCGTTGTGTAAGGCAAAGGTGAGCCTGTGTGTCACCTGGGAAGAGACAGAAAGAGAGAGAAGGGAGGGAGGTGCTAGGCTCTTTTTAACAAATCGATCTGGCAGGAACTAATAGAGTGAGAATTCACTCATTACCTCAAGGAGGGCACCAAGCAGATCATGAGAGATCTTTCTGGGTGCCCGAGACACCTCCCATCAAGCCCCACCTCCAATACTGAGAATCAGATTTCGATGTCGGATTTGGAGGAGTCAGATATCCCAATTATATCCGTAGCTCCTGTGTTGTTGACTGAGAGCTCATCTTTAGGGTTAAGAAGCCACATGAGCAAGAGCTGGGACTGATGGCCTGTTCCACAAACCGGAGCATCTAATAGTGCTCCCCTCGATGCAAGGGTACTCACTGTCACGTGGTCCGAAGGCAAAGTGACACTTTTCTCAGAGCTGCTTAGGAATTACTCCAATGTGGAAAAACAAAAAAAAAAAAAATGTTTTTAGACGTGCCACAAGCCTTGCCATAAAGCATGGTGGGAAAAAGCATTGGCTTGGGAGATTTTAAAGCAAGGGCCGTCGGTCTTTTGTAACATCACAGGATTCTCTCTCAGATGCTGCCATGGGTTATCTGGGTTCTGAGCAGCGTGGCTTCCGGGAGCACCAGCCTGAATAAGTGAGCTGCAAAATGCATTCCTAGGCTAGCAAATGAGTTAACTTGCCCTGTGGAGTTAATTAGCAGACGTTAGATTTTAGTGATACGCATTCATCTCACAAATACTTACTGAGCACCGACTCTCAGCCAGACTGGACACTAGGGATGCAACAGTGGAAAAAAGACAATGCCCAGACTTCCTGGATTACTTGCTGCTGGGGAAAGACAGACACGAAATACAACATATGGTATGTCCAGTAGAAAAACACAAAGCAGGGGAAGAGAATGGAGACTTTAAACCAGCGTAACCAGGGAAGGCCTTCCTGAAAAAGTGAGGTTTGAGCAGATGTTACCGGAAAGGTGTCCCAATCCAGACCCCAAGAGAAGATTCTTGGAACTCACACAAGAAAGAATTTGGGGTGAATTCATAGAGTAAACTGAAAGCAAGTTTGTTAGAGAAGTAAAGAAGCAAAAGAATGGCTACTCCACAGGCAGAGCAGCGGCATGGGCTGCTCGACTGATAATACAGTTATTTCTTGATTATATGCTAAACAAAGGGTGGATTTTTTCATGAGTTTTCTGGGAAAGGGATGATTTCCTGGAGCTGAGGGTTCATTTCCTTTTTAGACCATATAGGGTAACCTCCGGGCATGGTCATGGCATCTAAACTGTCATGGTGCTGGTGGAAGTGTCTTTTAGCATGCTGATGCATTATAATTACCATATAATGAGCAGTGAGGATGACCAGAGGTCATTTTCTTATTTTTTTTTATTTTTTATTTTTTTTTTAGATGGAGTCTTGCTGTGTTGCCCAGGCTGGAGTGCAATGGCACTATCTTGGCTCACTACAACCTCTACCTCCCAGATTCAAGCGATGCTCCTGCCTCAGCCTCCCAAGTAGCTGGGATTGCAGGCGTGTGCCAGCACACCCAGCTAATTTTTTGTATTTTTTAGTAGAGACAGGGTTCCACCATGTTGGCCAGGCTAGTCTTGAAATCCTGACCTCAGGTGATCCACCTGTCTAAGCCTCCCAAAATGCAGGGATTACAGGTGTGAGCCACTGCACCTGGCCTACCAGAGGTGACTTTCATGCCATCTTGGTTTGGGTGGGTTTTGGCTGGTTTCTTTATGGCACTCTGTTTCACCAGCAGAGTCTTTGCGACCTGTATCTTGTGCCAACCTCCTATGTCATCCTGTGACTCAGAATGCCCCGCATCCTGGGAATGCAGCCCAGTAGGTCGCCACCTTATTTTAACCCAGCCCTTAGTCAAGATGGAGTTGCTCTGGTTCAAATGGCTGTGACACAGAGAGCAAGGAAGTCAGTGTTCATGGAGCCTGAACCAGTCTTTCAGGTTAAATTTTAGAGCTCCCTAGCTGGGTGAGGGTCCATTCAAATTTTTGTGGGGCCTTCAAATTTTGTTTTCGGTTTGCAACATGATCTGACTTTACACTTCGAAAAGATTGCCTGGCTGTTCTATTGAGATTAATTAGACTGTGATGGGCAAGGATAGAAGATGTCTTTTTTTTTTTTTTTTTTTTTTTTGAGATGGGTATCTTGCTCTATCACCCAGGCTAGAGTGCAGTGAAACAATCTCAGCTTACTGCAACCTCTGCCTCCAGGTTTCAAGCGATTCTCCTGTCTCAGCCTCCTGAGTAACTGAGATTACAGGCACACACCACCACACCCAGCTAATTTTTGTATTTTTAGTAGTGACAGGGTTTCTCCATGGTGGCCAGGCTGGTCTCGAACTCCTGACCTCAGGTGATCCCCTGCCTCAGCCTCCCAAAGTGCTGGCATTACAGGTGTAAGCCACTGCACCTGGCCTGAATATATCATTTTTAAAAATTCATTTTAGTGACTGGACATGGTGGCTCACACCTGTAATCCCAGCACTTTGGGAGGCCAAGGCAGGCAGGTCACCTGAGGTCAGGAGTTCAAACCAGCCTGGCCAACATAGTGAAACTCTGTCTCTACTGAAAATACAAAAAATTAGCCGGTGTGGTGGTGGATGCCTACATAATCCCAGCTACTCGGGAGGCTGAGGCAGAAGAATCGCTTGAACCCAGGAGATGGAGGTTGCAGTGAGCCAAGATCGTGCTATTGCACTCCAGCCCGGGCGACAGAGTGAGATTCCATCTCAAAACAAAACAAAACAACAACAACAAAAAATTCTTTTTATTATAGTTAATGATGAGCCATTCCCCTACCCAGTAGATATCAATTAGCCTTCACGCCACTTCTGGCTTGTATTCCTTGTGA